CCCCMRSCCCGSSGGGRRGGGRRGGGAGGAGGTGCCGGGGGTAAATCTGTGTGTGTGTGTGTCCCTCCAGAGTGTGGGGGGCCRCTGACCGCCCTGGAGGGGCATTTCTCCACCCCAAACCACCCGCAGCCATACCCGCACCAGCAGGTGAGAGAAGGGGACGCTGCGGGAGCGCGGTGAGGGTGAGGGCGGGCAGGGAGGAAGGCAACCTCCCCCCCGGGAGAGCCGGGGGGTGCCCCTGCCCMGCTTCACGGGTGTCGCCGGCTGCCCCCCGCCCCTCAGCTGTGCCTCTGGAAGATCTTGGTGCCCCCGGGCCACGTCATCGACCTGCACTTCCACAACTTCAGCCTGGAGTCGCACGAAGAGTGCAGCTTCGACTTCGTGGAGGTGCACGACAGCGCGGGCACGGGGACCGCCAGCCTCATGGGCAGGTACGGGTACCCCCAACACCCCCAGCCCTGCTGCACCACCCTGGAGACACCTGGGGAAACTGAGGCACGGGGCTGGCTGCTGGGGAGGAACCAGCAGGAGACAGAATTTGGAGGGGTGCTGGTCAGCTCCCGACCCCATCCCTCATGCCGTGACCTCGGCAGGTTCTGTGGCCACCAGCTGCCACCCTCCCTGACCTCCTCACGGCACGTCATGACCGTCCTGTTCGTGGCAGACGAGGGAGTGGCGGATGACGGGTTCTTTGCCACCTACCAAGCCCGAAATGCCACAGAGAGTAGGTACACAGCAGGGGCACAGGCTGTGCCAGGGGGCTGTGCCAGCGCCATCCTTGGGAGGTTTGGCTGGGTAAAAACCTGACAAAAACAGCTCTTGCTCCACACTGACCCTGCTTGCAGCTCGAGGTTGGGCCCCCAGGGTCCCTTCTCACCTGAATTACCCTGGAACCCTACTGATCTGAGCACAGGGAATGTGACCTGGAAGGGCTCACCAGCACAGAGGAGTGAGGGCTGCCCCCAAATAACCCAGGGAATTTGGGATCTCTCCAAGAGGAGCAGACAGGGGTGGTCAGCAGGGGCCAGGCTGCTCCCAGCCATGCCCTGCCCTCTCACCTGCAGAGACCTGCAGCCCCGCCGAGTTTTCCTGTGGGAATGGCGAGTGCCAGGCTCTGGAGGCTGTGTGTGACGGCTGGCACGACTGCCCCGACGGCACTGACGAGCTGAACTGCACCGGGGTGTCCTACCCGGCCTTTGGTGAGCGCCACCCGGGTGCCCCATCGGGGGACACGCTGGCACAGCAGCTGGGCAGCACTGTCACCGTCCCAAATGAACCCCTTCGCCCTTCGGCAGGGTCTGTCTGCGAGCCCGTGGAAGTGGAGATGTGCTTGGGGCTGGGCTACAACGCCACCTCCTTCCCCAACATCTGGCTGGCCATCCCGGACCAGGAGGGCGCGGCCGAGGTGCTGCAGGACTACCAGGTGAGCTGTGGGGCGGGGTGCCCGCGGGGCTGCCGCACYTCACCGGGCTCACASCGCTGTCCCCGCTGTCCCCGCTGTCCCGCAGACCCTGATGGAGCTGGCGTGTTACCAGCACCTCCGCCCGCTCATCTGCAGCCTCTTCGTGCCCAAGTGCACCCCGGACGGGGGGGTGCTGCAGCCCTGCCGGACCGTGTGCCAGGCGGCCGAGCTGCGCTGCCGCCAGTCCCTGGGGCTGCTCGGCATCCTCTGGCCCATCAACTGCAACATCCTGCCCGATTCCAACGACCCCGTGGAGTGCTTCCAGCCCTGAGCCGGCCGGACGAGAGCAGCAGGGGCTCAACTCGCCCTCCCAGCCCTAAATGTCGCACCCATCCTCTTGGTGTCATAAATACCCAGCTGCTGGGGTGGCCCCTCACCTGCCCTGGGGTCAGCCCGGTGCCCAGTGCTTGGCTCAGTGCCTGGTGCCACGGGCTGGCCCACAGCTGCAGAGCCCCAGAGAGCAGCTGGCACATCCCACAGGGAAAGGCTTGTGCTGGGGACACCAGAAAAAGGGTTAATGCCCCTCAAGCGGAGCCAGGCTGGGCAGAGGTGAGCCAGGCTGCAGGCACCAAATCCCGGACCAGCCCGTGTGCCACAGCCCCAAAGCAGCAGAATAAACAGCCTGAGCAGCTGACAAAGCCAGTGGAGCAGGTGACTCATTTGGAAGGGGGGGTTTGTGGGTGGGTGCTGCCAGATCCAGGGGAAACTGAGGCATGGGCCAAGAGAGGAAAGCCAGGGATGGGGTGGGGAGATGGACAGGGGGCATAGGGGAGAATGGGCAGCTGGCTGTGCCCTTATGGGGCTGGGGGCTTGCAGGGTCCAGGGAGACGGATGAGTTTCAAGGAAGTCCTGTTGGTGACCCCATGGTGCACAGGGAAACGATCCTGCCCCACCGACAGCTGTGCCCCTTCTGGCTGAGCTGCCTGAGCTGGCTGGAGGCCACCCTGGTGGCCACAGGGCTGGCAACACCCATAGCCACAAACCAGCGTTCAGCTGGCCAAAAACAGCAGTCCCTTCACACCTCGGGAGAGAGGAGACCGGCGGCTCCCTGCCAGCACCAGCCTGGCCACGGGCACCCAGATCAGAGGGGATCAGCCAGCGATGTCACCCGCTCCTCTGCGGGCACAGGGAGGTGAGGGCTGGCAGTGCCATCGTGTTTCCTGCTGCCCTGAGCACGTGGGGAATTCCTCAGAGCAGCTGGGGTCACTGGGATCAGGACCCGGTGGGGCAGCGCCGCTCTGCCCCGTACCCAGCACGGCTCTGCCGTTCCCACCCGGCTCGGGGGGTTGGAACCCCCCCAGCTCCTTTTCTCCTGCGTGTCCCAGCTGCTGCTGGGCACAGGGACTCCCCCGGCCGCAGGCCCGCCCCCCTGGCCAGCATGTGACCGTGTCCCTTGGACGCACTCGGCGCTGGAACAAGTTAAAGGCGAGCGGGGAGCGCCTCGAAAGCTGCGCCGCGTGCTCGGAGCTCCCCGGGGCCAGCCCTGGCACGGGCACAGCGCTGCTCTGCCTGCGCTTCCACCTGCCCTGCACGCTCCCACCAACGTGCTGGGACTGCCCAGATGGATSCTGTGGCTTCCYGTGGATGCTCYCAGGGCTGGCACTGCCAGGCTGTGCATTTCTGCCCTCCCCTTCGCCTCAAATCTCTGTCAGTCAGGGCACCAGCACACCTCTTCCTTCTGCCGCTCCAACCCTCCCTGCCCTTGCTGGATTTCCCTTCCTCAGCTTTTATCTTGTTTCCTTTCCCTGCTGCTGTTTTCCGTGTTTCCCTCCCCTCCATCCTGCCCGGGTGCCCAGCAGTGTCCAGCTGAGGTGGTTCACAGTTTGTGCCTCCTCTCCCTCAGCCAGGCTGTTTGCAGCGCTCTCCCTTCCCCCTGCTTACAGCACTTCCGACATCATGGGATTATTTTTCTTTTTCCCCTTGTCTTGTAGCTTTTGGCTCCCAAGGCCCTTGATTTCCTTTGGAGTTTGGGAGGAGAGAGTGGGGAGGAGGGGGGGTGGAGAGGCTGCCTCTCTCAGGGCCTTCGTCAGAGCGAAGTGGCCAGGAAGAGCCTCAGCCCTTGCACAGCAGAGAGCAGCGAGGTCCCGGGACAGGAGCTGTAGGATCACAGTGAGTGGGGATACCCAGCTGGGGGAGCTGGGACTTCCTGGCTTCCCGCCTCCGGCGTCTGGGCGGAGGAGAGACGCTTTTCTCCTCCTTTTCCTCTTTGTTGCAGTCGTGGAGGGGGAAGAGAGCTGCTTTTCTGAGTCAGGGCCACGGGGAGGGGGCCAGCGCTGGCCCTGGGGCTCAGCTCCGGTCGCGGTGCTGTGGGAAGGGCAGGGGGCAGCCCGGGCAGGGGGGTGGTCCCCCAGAGGGGTGCTCCGGGGATGCTGCGGCCGCGGGGAGCCGGCCGGGGGTGGAGCGGAGCCGCCGCGGATGTGCCGGGATGTGCCAAGGGCCTGGCCACGGACAGCCCCGCGCCGCGCCCCGGCACCCACCCACCCCCGGAGGCAACAACCCCACCCGTGGCACGCTGGCAGCTCGCCATCTGACAGCCCTAAATGCCCCTGCCCGCACCCCATGGCCAGGCGCGATGGGGCAGCGCCCACCCCAAAGAGCCCCCGGAATTGGGCTCTTTTCCCAGTGCCCAGACCCCTCCCCAGCCCCCGGGCCCACACCCCCTGAGCTGTCCCGGGGCTGCGGGGTGATGTGACGGGCCACGGGGATGCTGCGGCAGGTGCAGGGAAAGGGAAAAGAAGGAATGTCCCCTGCTGACCCCCGGCACTCCCGGCCAAGCATTCCACACTTCTCTGCATTCCCCAGCGCTGTGATCTTTCTCTGCCGGCTTCCAGCTCCTCCGGGACACCATGAAGCAGCTCTTCCTCCTCTCCCTCCTCGGGCTCATCACCAGGTCCTTGCAGATTGAAGACAACAAGATCCCGGGGCTGTGCTCCGGGCAGCCGGGCATCCCAGGGACCCCGGGCCTGCACGGGGGCCAGGGTTTGCCAGGCAGAGACGGGCGAGACGGCCGGGACGGGGCCACGGGGATGCCGGGGGAAAAGGGCGAGATGGGCCCTCCTGGTAAGAAAGGAGAGATTCCGGGTGGGGAGGGGGATCTGCCATTCCCTGCCCGTGGGGAACACCCTCAGGACGGGGAAGGATTCCTTGATGCTGGCACAAACTGCCAGTCTGAGAGCAAATCCTGCAGAAGTGCCCCTCCCACCCCACCGCCACCCATCTGATCCTGCCTGTGGTAACCCTGTGTCCCCGCAAAAGCTCCCTGTCACCAGTAAAGCTGTGCCTGTCCCCATCCCCGATGCCACCCCTCTCCTCCAGCCCTGCTTTAGGAGGGGCCATCACCAACAGGGTTGGATCATCCCCCGCTGGCTCCTGGGCTGGGGTTTCTCCAACAATCTCCTGATGCTGCGCCAGCTTCTCTCCTGCCCTCCCCGTTTGTGCTGCTCCCCACTGCCCAGTGGGATTGGGATTGGGATTGGGATTGGGATCGGGCAGGAGGGCTGGGGGGCTGTGTTGGTGACTCTCAGGTAACCCTGTCCCCTCCTGCCCGCCCAGGAGCGCCCGGGCCCCGCGGGGAGATGGGCAGCCCCGGCGTGGACGGGCTGCACGGCGAGAAGGGCGCTCAGGGCGAGTGTGCCGTGGCCCCTCGCTCTGCTTTCAGCGCCAAGCGCTCCGAGTCGCGCAGTCCCCCGCTGGCCGACCAGCCCATCCTCTTCGACGTGGTGCTCATCAACGAGCAGGGCCACTACGACCCCGCCACGGGCAAGTTCACCTGCGAGGTGCCGGGCCTCTACTACTTCGCCGTGCACGCCACCGTGTACCGCACCAGCCTGCAGTTCGATATCATGAAGAACGGCCACTCCATCGCCTCCTTCTTCCAGTACTACGGCAACTGGCCCAAGCCCACCTCGCTCTCGGGGGGCACCCTGGTCCGCCTGGAGCCCGAGGACGAGGTGTGGGTGCAGGTGGGAGTCGGGGACTACATCGGCTTCTACGCCAGCGTCAAGACGGACAGCACCTTCACCGGCTTCCTGGTCTACTCCTACTGGCAAAACTCCGCCGTGTTCGCCTGAGAGCACTCGGCTGCCGAGGGGAACGCGCCCCTTCCCGGCTGCCAGCGTGATGGGAGCCCGGGCAGAGGGACCGTGCCCTGCTCGGGGCACAGAATTGTCCCCACTGCCGCGCGGGGAGCGCTCCCGGAGCGGCGCCGTGTGAGCGCTCGCTGTAATTTCGGGCGGTGCGCGGTTCCTGCCGCTCGCCAGGGCAGGGCGAGCGGGGCTGCGGGGCCGGGAGCCCATCCCGCGGGTCCTGTCCCATCCCTCCCCTCAATAAAGGGCTGCTCAGCCGCCTGTGTGTGTGCCGCCTGCCTGTGCCGTGGGACCCTCGGGGCTGCGGTGCCCTTTCCCCGGGGCGAGGAAAGGAAGGCCGGGGCCACCGCTTCGTGCTGTCCCCGCAAGGCCAGCGGGAGCCACTAGATGGTGGCATCGGCGTCCTTGAGGCAGCAGCGCAGCGCTGCGACACCCCCGGCACCTCCCCAAGGCTCGGCAGCGGAGCCCCGAGATCCCCCCGAGGACCGAGCCTCGCCGGATGGGAGGGTCCCGATGCTGTCAGGGCCATCCCGGGGGGAGCAGAGCCCCCGGTCCGGGGGTGGCCCCTCAGTGCGGCTCTCGGAGCCCCCCGTGCCCGCCCCCGCCCCGCCCCAGGGTGAAAGCGCTGACCCGCGGCTGGGAAAGGTCTTTATTTTTAGCAGGGGAATGAAGAGCTTCCTCATTCCTTGCCCAAAATAGGGTCCCTGCGGGGACCAGCCGGGGAGGGGGCTCTTGGCCAGCGGCCGAACCCCTTAATGGGTTTGGGACGCTGCCCTGCCCGCTGTAGGGTGCCAGATGGGACCGGCTCTTCCCCGGCCGTGCCAGTGGGACCGTGCATCGCTCACCAGTCCAGGACCTCTGTACACAGCCGGACAACCCTTCCATTCCCCGGACCCCTCACTGCCCCCCATCTCTGCTGTATGGACCCCCAGGGCTACCAGAGCTGGACAGGCTGGCAGCAGCCGTGGGGACACCCGTGTGCCCCTGTACGGGGCCAGTGCCACCCCAATGGGACCCCCACTCCGGGACTGAGGGCCATGGGCCACCCCCGACCCGTGGGGACCTGTGGAGGTGCTGGGGTGACCATTGGGGTGCAGAGGGGCTGTGCTGGAGCCACCCTGCACGCCCCTCACCCCGCGCCGGGGTCGGGTTGCAGCGGAAGCTTCTGTTTGGGTTGGAAATGGCCTTTTCTGTAAGCGGAGCCGCTCCGGGGCAAACAGCACCGCAGAGCAGATCGATGGCTGTGCTGGGAGGAGGAAAGGGAATTTTCTGCACGAGGTGTGTGGGGGCTGGGACCATTCCCTGGTCCCTGTCACGATGAGGGGGAGCACGGTCAGCACAGACACACACAGTGCTCGGCACAGCCGTTTCTGCGCTCTGCTTCCTTTATAGTAGTATCTTATTCCTATACTATGACTTTTCACTTAAATCTTCTGAGGATATTTTAAAGTACTGGGGAGAAGCTGAAATGCTCTTTGAGGATTTGCACCTTTAAAATTTAAATAATATCCCAAGCAGACATTCAGAAATTTTAGCTGATGCTCTTGGTTGTGTGGACACTTTGGGATCAGGGAGGGACTGCTGCTGCCTGGGCAGGATGAGGGAGGGGTGAGCAAAGGATAACGGAAGAATTGCAGAAGACTTGGACAAATTTCCAGTGAGCTTCAGATGCTTTTGATGAGCTCTGCCAGCTTCCCCCTGAGGAAGGAGAGTTTGGAATCCCCGTTCCAGCTGAGCCCAGGTTAGGGAGGGGCCAGTACCCCTCAGCCAGGGCAAGAAAAAATCCTATAAAAGAGCCAGGCTCAGGCCACAGGTGCTGCAGTAGAGCTCACAGAGGCAGCAGTTGGGTTGGTTTGTTCTTTCTTTCGAGGTTTTTGTGGTTGGTTTGTGGGATTTTAGAAACAAAAATAAATGCCACTACCTCTCCTCACAGCAGCACTCGTGCCCTTGGCACTCCAAGGTCACCCGAGGAGTCAGCAGGCACCAGAGAGGGCATTAAAGAGATCAGCTGGATCATCTCTGAGACCCTACAGCTGCATAAGCGCTTATGGTGTCAGGGTGTGGAAATGCCCCCAGGGGTGAAGGGTGTCCTGGTGGCTCCTGGCAGCAGCAGGGTGGCTCCTGCTCCCCCCAGAATTTGTGATTATGGCCCAGGTTCAGAGCCCCCATTGCTGATGAGGTGCAGGGAACACTCTCCAGACACCTTCAGGACTGCTGACCTGGTAAGGAGAGCTTTGCCTGGGAATGGGCAGGGGAGGGGACAATTCTTGCTCTGGTGGGGGCGGGGTGGGCAAGGAAAGGATTTTAGGACAGCAGACACGGGGATCTCCTTGCCAGAATCCCGTGTCCTGCAGAGCTGCCCAAGGGTACAAAGGATCAGCTCCTCCAAACTCAAACAAGAATGGCAGGCAGCAGCTTCTCAGCTGATCAAACCCTGGCTCAGAGGAGCAGCAGAGTCTCCCTCCCGCTATCCCCAGAGCCCTGCAAGCCACTCCAGGCTGGGTGACCGCGATATCCCCGGCAGCCTCAGCCCTTCCGTGTGCCCGAGGGACCGGAGGCGCCGTGTCCGAGGCTCCCGGAGCTGTGTCACTAATGAGGGTGACCAAAGGCTCCCCGTGGCTCGGCTGCGGATCCTCAGCTGCTCCCTCCCCGCCGGCCGGCGATCATTCCCCGCTCCTGCTGCGCCACATCTGCGCTCCCGGCTGCCCGGCAGAGCGTGCCGCTTGTCCCCAGGCTGCGACCAGCCGCTCGTTAGGGCGGGGGAGCTGCAGCCGGGATGATAAAAGGGATTTTCTCAGCGCCCGGGGGCTCCTGCTCTCAGCTGTCTGCGGCGCCGACCCCCCTAAACCGGGGTCACCCATCAGCATCACGCTCCTCCCTCCTTGGGGAAGGGTCTTGGGGCTTTGATGAGCTGAGATTCATGTGGGAGGCTCCCAGGCGTGTTCTGGAGCAGGGAATTGCCCCGGGGACTCCAGATCTGGTGTTTGGAGTGCTCTGTGAGCGTTGCTGCTGTCCGGGAGGTGCGGCCCCACACCGAAACCCAAAATACGGGAGCACGCAGCTCTCACGGCCCCTCGCCCATCAGCAGCGTTTTCCTCCTGTAATTGCTGGCTGCTGGAGCAGAGATGGAGCTGAGTGTGTGCAGGATGGCTCCCGGGGGATGGTGTGTCCTGCACATCCTGTCCTCTCTGGGAAAGCTCGGCCGCAGTGGCCTGAGGTGGCCGAACACCCATCCCATCCCCTGCGGGGGATGCTGGGCTGGGAGCATCCTGCTTGTGCAGGGCTTGGCTGATTTCCCTGCTGATCCCACCCTGCTCCTGTCCCCTCTGAGCCTCCCCAGGTGCCCAGCCAGTCTCGGGCAGCAAGAGAAGTGTCTCAGTGTGCCCAGTTGTCACACATGTGTGACCAGACCCCGCCAGAGCTGCCAGCACGGCTCTCCTCCCTGTGCCTGAGCAGATATCTGCCTCTTCCCGGCCTCCCAGCAGCTCCCATCTCCCATCTCTTGGTTTTCATCCTCATTAAAATTAGCCAGTTTGTCTGCAGGGCCCTGCCAAGGCAGGGCAAGCCAGGACTCCTGGAGTCTCTGCCCATCAGAGGCCCGAGACATTTTTCCAAATAATTTACAAGGATGCTGGGGAAGCAGAGAGTGCTTAAAAGCACGAAGCAACCTGCCAGGAGCTCAGAGCCGAGCCAGGGAGTCGCTCCTCGTGCAGCAAATGCATCTGCTCACCATCAACCACAGCCTTTCTGCGAGGCAGGACCCAGCCCTGTGCTGCCTCCAGCCCCGGGACAGTCTGGCACAGGACACTGAGGCCTCAGAAAACTGCAGGAACAGGGATTAACATGTCCCAGCATGATCCTGCTAGCCTGGAACACCCTGGGAAACCCCAGCCCCATTTCCTGTCCCCTGGTGTGGCAAACCCACAACCATTCCCTCTCGCTGTGGGTTGGCAGAGCAGGATTTGGGGGCAGGATTGGGTGTAAATTCCTCTCGTGGGTGCTGGATTTTCCCTGTGAGGAGCTTGGCTCCATCCCACAGCATTCTGAGCTTACAGGTGCTGCTAACCCTTTGTGGAGTCCAGGAGTGCACAGGGGAGACACAAAAACACATTCCCCCACAAAAAAAAAAAAACAACAATCCTTCCCAAGAACGAGGCAGCACGCAGCTTTTGGTAAAGGATGTTTTAATCTGCTCAGTATCTAGTCCATAGTGCAAAGAGTTAAACTTAAGGCAAAGCCTTCTTTTATAAACAGCAAACAGGCCCTAAAACAAACAAGCGTGACTGCTATAATAATAATAATAATAATAATATAAAAAAAAAGGGGTTGAGGGAAGAAACCGCAATTTTGGGGAGGTGTCCTTTCCCCACCCCACCCTGTAACTCATACAGAGAGTGTGGCACCCCCTGATCCATGAGCTGGTCCCAAGGGAATGCTGCTGCCTGTGGCCACAATCCCATCCTGAGTGGCCCCAGGTACTGCTCCCTGACTCCTTGGCATTGCCTGGCACAAACCAGACCCTGGGCAGTCACACTCACTGCTCTGGGGAGGGTTTGGCTGCTCTCAAGTGCTGCTGGCTGGAGAGAGCCAATATTAACAAGGGAGGTGTGTGGGGAGGCACAGGGACAGAGGTTGAGCAAGGGGAATTTTGCATTTCTCTGAAGTGGAAGCAGCTGACAGCCCTTCCAACACCCAGCAGTGCCCAGGAGCCTGGCCTGGCCCAGGGAACCCTCCCAGCTCCCGGGAAATTCAGGAGCAATCAGCCCTGGCAGCTCCCAGGAAATGCAGGAGCAATCAGCCCTGGCAGCTCCCGGGAAATGCAGGAACAATCAGCCCTGGCAGTGCCTTTCCCAGCAAAGCCACTCAACAACAAGATTCCTCCTTGCCACAACTCAGAGGCATCTCCCAGCACGGCCTGGCCTCTCTGCTGCCTCTGTTTTGGCTTAAATTGTTAATCAAGAAGCAAAATAGAAGGAAAACCATGCCAGCTGCCCTCAGGTTATTGGCTTGCAGTCCAGGAGTCAAGACTCTCTCCGGTCTGGCTCCAGCCAAAATTGGCTGTGGCGTGTGGCTGACCTCAGGCAAGCAGCTGGAATAGGAAAAGCTTTTTAGTGCAAGGCCTTCCTGCAGCCCAGTGATTTCTTGGAATGGTGCTGGTTGCCCAAACTGGGAAGAGCCATCTCAGGCCTCCCCCAGCCAGGATCTGATTCCTTTGTTAGAATTTGGGGGACACTTTGGAACAAAAGTGGAATTCAGGGGACACTTTGGAACAAAAGTGGAATTCAGGGGACACTTTGGAACAAAAGTGGCTACATTAGTGACAGACAACGAGACAAAACAACGGTACAGCCCTGCCCTAATCCAAGATATCCGTGGTCCTGGTACTGCTCCACGCACACAACTGCAGATCTGTGCAGAAACTGTGCCTGGAGCTGGAATGTCTGTGAGCTCCCAGGAGCTTTGGGGTGCTCCCTCTCTTCCCAGAGGGTTCCTCCCTCCAGCCAGCCCAGCCTGGGAAGGAGCCAGCAAGTTCTGGAGTGACCCTCCCTGTTCCATGGCACTCTGAGCCTGTAAATGAAAGGTTTTTGGAGAGGATTCTCCAGCCTTGGCTCAAATCTGGGCTGTTGCTGCTGCCAGGGCTGGGAGCACTGGCTGGGTGGCTGCTCCTCGGGCTCCCCAGGCAGCAGCACCAGCCCTGCAGAAAGAGGGGCTCCTCTCCAGCCTCCCTGTGCAGGTAACCTGGCCTGTGCTTGCTAGTCTTGCATAGGTGATGCGTGAGAAGCAGCAGCAACACTGAGCTCTGCAGGGAGCCCCAGTTCATCACAGCTCCACGCTGTCCTGGCAAGGGATATCCCTCCCAAAGCAAAGCTGCTGGGCTGGTGGAGCACCCCAGAAACCCTGCTCTCTAGCTGAGAGGCAGCTCAGCAAACACTGAAAAACTCGAGTGTGCTCCTTGCAAACAGGGAGCTCCTCCACTTCGATGGTGGGAGGAGGAAACAGAAGCCTGCATGCAGCCTGCCAGGTAATTCTCTAGTGAGACCTTTGGAAATAAAGCTCACCTGGCTTGCACCAGCCCTGGTGATTCCCAGCAGGGCACAGCCTTTACCCTTTCCATCAGCTTTGGCTAGGAGGGACCAGAGCATTTTTCTGCGCTCTGCTTTGGATCTCAGGCTGCTGCAGGTTCAAGGCAACAGCGCCCTGAAACAGCAAAAGCTGTCAAAAAAAACAAACCCAGGTAACTCTTCCAGCTTGCTGCAGAGATCAGTATTGTGCTTGCTAGCAAGAGCTACAACCTAGTTACACAGCAAATGTGACCAGCAGCCAGCCCACAGCGTTCTGCCCTTCCAGCACCATCCAGAGTTCTTTGGAAGCTGCTCAAGGCAGCCCTGGAGAAGTGCAGACCGAGGTGCCCTTGACCTCCTGGGAAAACAACCAGGAGTTGTTTGGGGCTCACAGGTAGACGTTGAGGGTCTGCAGGATCATCTGGCGGCACAGGGGGCAGTTGCGCTGGTAGATGTCCTGCTGCAGCAGCACCTCCGTGCACTCCTGGCACAGGCACAGGTGCCTGCAGGGCAGCAGCAGGACTGTCTTGGTCTGGTCCTGGCAGATGACGCATTTCTTACGCTCCTCTTGTTCTTTCAGCAGCGCCCAGGGGTCGTTGTCGGGGGTTCCCTCCCCGTTCAGCTGCTGCTTCCTCGGAGCTTTCCACCAGGACGTGCCCGGTTCCTCCCTGGCTGGCTGGTGACGCTGCCCTGTCCCAGCACGGTTCAGAGCAGGCCGTGGCTGTGGTACCTGCCCTGCACCCTGCTCCTCCTGCTCGGCCGGCGGCTGACCCACGGTCACTCTGGGTGCAGCCACGGCCCGGCGCTGCTCGCTGGCCTGGTTCACCATCCGGCCTCCCCGGCTCCAGTTGGTCACCTGCAGGCTCCAGTCGGTCACCTGCAGGATCCAGTCCACCAGCCTGCGCCAGGGCTGCGAGGTCATGGCCACGCCCAGGGTCAGCACGGCCACCTGGTAGAGCCGCCACACGTCCCGCTGCAGGCGGCGCAGGGAGGGCAGCGTGTGCAAGTAGCCCAGCAGGTAGCCCGTCAGCGTCCACAGCAGCCCAGGGTTGAACACGAAGGCGCTGACCACCATGATGAGCACGAGCAAGCCCAGGCCGTAAACATTGACGAAGAAGACGCTGATGAAGAGGTCGGTGGCGGAGCAGAGCAGCTCGAAGGCCATCTGGCACGGCGACCACAGCAGGATGGACACGGCGATGGCACCGCTGGACACATGAGCCAGGAACGCGGCCAGCAGGTCGGTGACCCTGATGACAGGCCCGGCCAGCGAGTCCCAGAGGGCACCCAGCAGCGTGAAGAGGTTCTGGGTGCCGATGAGACACACGTTGACCAGGCTGTTGACCAGGTACATCAGCAGGCTGGTGCCGATGGCCAGCGCCTCGCACAGCTGCCGGCCCAGCGCCTGCCCGCAGCCCAGCACGGCGCCCAGCCCGCGCTGCACCAGCTCCCGGCCCCGCAGCGCCAGGTGCGACACCAGGTGCCCGGCCGCCCGCATGCCCTCCATGGCCCCGCAGCAGCCGCGGACCAGCACCAGCGCATCCCAGCACGCCACCACCGCGGCGGCCGCGGCCGCGGGCAGGCTGGAGGCCGCGGCCAGCAGCCAGAGCAGCGCGGACACCAGCGAGGACACCAGGAAGAAGTTGAGGTCGAGCACCAGCAGCAGCAGGTCCAGCAGCAGGCGCAGCCCGCGGAGCAGCGCGAACAGCACGTCCATGGTCCCCGCGGGGCCCGTACGGCGCCTCAGCCGCGGGGCCCCTCCGCGCTGGGCGCAGCCATCTTGGCAGCCGCCGCCGCGCGGCGCAGAGCCAATCAGCTGCGGGGGGCTCCGCCCGGGGACGCCTCCCATTGGTCGGTTCGCGGGACGCGGCGGGGGCGCGGCGCTGGGGGCGTGGCTTCCAGCAGAGGCGGGAGCCTGGCCCCGCCCACTCGGGCTCATTTAAAGGGCCAGTAGCGCCCGTTATCCGGAACGGTTCCGCTTCACCGCGAGAGACATCGGTTTAGGCAGTTCTTTAACTGCAGAATGAGTAATTCCAGACTTCTTTGTGGAAGGGGATCTACCGGACCATTACAGTAAAAGGGACAGGTTGCAGTAGACCACGTTGCTCCAAGCCCTGCCCAGCCTGGCCTTGGGCATTTCCAGGTATGGGGCCACCACAGTTTCTCTGGATAATCTGTACCAGGACCTCATCAGCCTCATAAGGAAGAATTCTTCCCATTATCCCATCTGACACCGATCTCTGTCAGTGGGAAGCCATTCTCCCGTGTCCCATCACACCCAATCAGGCACAGGGATGTTCAGGGGGATGCTGCAGCTCTGCTCTGGACACARGSTGGGGGAGCTGGGGGTGTTCAGCTTGGAGAAGTGAAGGAGGAGGAGATGTCAGAGCCTCTTCCTGTGCCTGGAGGRGCTCCAAGAGAGCTGGAGCAGCACTTGGGACACGGGCATGGAGTGATGGGATGAGATCCAGGAGCTGGGACAGAGCAGGCACAGTGCACAGGACAGACGGGGATGTTATCAGCCCCCTCATCTTGTTTCAAAAGCACAGCCCCTCCAAACGGTGCTGGAGGCACCCAGCAGCTGCATGAGATGAGTTTGTGCCAGCCTCAGCCCTGGCACGGGGAAGGTGTGCACTTGCCAGCAGGATCCCCTGGGCCTGTTTGGGACAGGGTCAGCCCAGGGTCACCCGGCCACGCAGTTTCCTGCAGGAGATTTGAGAATAAAGCCATGGCTGTGGCTCAGACCAAGGTTACAGCCCTGGAGCGGGTCCTGCCCTCCCTGCCGGCTCCCGGCCAGGGCGTGGGGCTGTCAAATCCTCTGCCGTGCCCCAGGGGATGGTCCAGCCTTGATGGCGATGACAAGTTCAGGAAAATCCAGCCCTGAATCCAAGGCTTTTTAAGGAAGGAGAGGGTGAGTGCACCGTGGCTGATGACCCATGGGAAAGCCATGCACAGCCCGGGAGGCTCCGGCCAGCCCGGGGCCGGGCAGGGAAGCGCCACACCCCGGGCAGAGGGGCAGGAACCCCGGGGGTGCCCCGCACCCTCCCGCAGGTGCCTCCCCGAGCGGGGCAGGAGCCCCGGGGGTGCCCCGCACCCTCCTGCAGGTGCCTCCCCGAGCGGGGCAGGAGCCGGGCTGGCACTCCCATGTCTGTCTGTCCCTCCCTGCGCTCTGTCCTGCTGCCTGGCCCCCCGCCAGCCCTGCCCGTGTGGCTCCATGGCAGCAGGCGCCTGGTTCCCCGGGGAGTCACGCCAGTGACGGAGTCAGGATGCTTTCAGCATTTATGGTAATGTTTGGATTTCTCATCGCTTTACCAAACAGGAGAGGGGAAAAGAGAGCCGAACCAAGGGCTGGGCGTGCTCCTCTCATTCCCTGCCTCCGGCTGTGCACCTGCCTCACCCTCCCCGCTCCCGGTGCCTGCCCTGCCTCTGCCACACCCGGGGGGACCCCGGTGGGCTCCCCGCTGCCGGGCCGGGGGCGCAGGGGCTGCAGCGTTCGGAGGCTCCATAGCCGGGCTGCTCCGTGCTCCGAGGGATGGAGGGGAGCAGTGCCCGCTCTCATTCCGGTAGGATGTCCAGTTCCAGGCCGTCCAGAGCTGCGGGAGAGGGGCACAGGGCTCCGGCAAACCCAGCACGGGGCGAGGAGGGGCGCAGGGGCACCTGGACAGTTCAGGTTGGGACAGTGATTTGGCTGGAGTGGAGCGGGGCTGCAGAGGGGACACGGAGGTCCCTGCCCAGGTCCCCGGGCAGCTGAGCTGTGGATGGGACCCCTCCTCGCAAGGAGAGTCCCCCCAGCTGCTTGTGCGCTTGCCGGAGCCTGGCAATGATGCTACGGCAGCAAGGACAGCGTGGATCCGCTTGTGAGCCCCCTCCCCTCATCATCCTCACCGGGCACCGGGCAGGCACAGCCCCGCTGCTCCCCGGGACCGGCAGAGCCCACCCTGCGGGCACAGAGAGCGGCGCGGGTGTGGCTCCCGCAGCCCTGCCCTGCCCTGCCCGGGGCTGTGCTGGCACCCAGCCCAAACACGGGGCTGCCGCATCACGGCTCGGAGCTGCCTTCCCGCTGCTGAGCTCACCCCGCGTTCCAGAAAAGCAGCGGCCGGGGAACGCCAGCGCTGCCTCAGCCCGCGGAGATGCCGAGTCCTCGTGGGTTTATCTGGAAGCAGAGGGAGACACGGAGAAACACCCGGGTGGGGTATCCCAGAGGGATTCTCCASAGCCCGGCRTGCCCCAGCATCTTCCCTTGCTCCMGGGGTRCATCCTGAGGCAGGAAGGGAATTTCTGGAGCGTGGCTCCCGCTGGCACCGCTCCAGCGCTCGAGGGCGATGCCAGTGGTGTCCCATCCCAGGGTGCCTTCCCCTGCACACCCAGGGCCGTGTGGCAGCCCCGGCAGGCGGGACAAGGCGGTCCCAGCTCGGGTCCCCTCAGGACACCCCTGCCCAGCGCTGGGCAGCCGGAGGCGGGAACAATGGCTCATCTGGCTGTATCCGCTCCGGAAAATCCCCCGGCCCCCCTCGGGCTCTGCTCCAGGACGCTGTGGCTCACTCTTCCTCTGGCCTTGGAGGGGCAGGTGATGGAGTCGCCCACGGCGTAGCCCGCGGGCAGGGAAGAGCCCGAGGCTGCCGGGGAGAGCCCGCAGGAAGGAGCGGGAGCTGCAGGGAGCCCAGCCCAGCGTCCCCAGCAGCCGGAACCTGCCCTGTGCAAGAGCAGGAGCCCGAGGGCTGCTCGCCGCGCTTCTGGAAGGCTCTGTGTCTCCCCACGATGGGAGCTGAGATATCTATCTCCTCCTGGAGCCTGGCCAGGCGGCCCTGGGAAAAGCGACTCCTCTTCCATGGGAAAGAACTACAAGGAGAAATTCCTCTTTGGCCAGGCCGGCCCCACCGTTCCCCTGGGCCCTGGTGCTCCAGTGTGTCCCCGGTGCTGCGGGGATGTGACACAGGAACTGTGCTCTGCTCCTGCCTTGTCCCAGCCAGCCCTGGGCTGCCCCCAGCCCTCTCCACGGGAAGCCTTCCCCAAAGGGATCCCCTGCAAGAGGAGCTCCCCCATTAGCCTGGGGGATCTCATTGGGATTTCTCACAGATGATCCTAAGGAGCGCTCCTCGGGAGCCCCAAGCCCTGCAGACAAAGGCAGGAGGGAGAGATCCCTGCAGGCAGGCCCGGGCAGGGTGCAGGGTCCCTGTGCTGGCTGCTCCTCCCTTCCTCGGCAGC